CAAAAGTGTAGGCACCTTGAGTTTGAACTGACTTTATTATTCTGTAAATGTGAATTTTACAAAGCGCTTTACAACGAACTGATCACACCCTTTTGTCTCTTTGCAACGAATTTCCACCTTACGAAGCAGCGGCTCTAAGTGCCAGGAGCCCTGTTTCCTGGTTGCTGGAAACGCTCCTGCGGGTCGAGTTACTGCTACAGCGTCAGCCGCAGCTAAGAAGCGACAGTCTGGACTCTGCCGAGTAGCAGCACAGAGTGAGGACGCCGGAAGGACAAAGGTTTCCTCCTTCTCCGAAACACAAAACAAAACAAAACAAAAGCTTCTGCGGCTGAAATCGAACTCAGTGGTGTGAGACCAACCTTTATACAGCACAGGAACAGCTTCTTTACTTTATTTGAGTTTTAACAGTCGTGAGTTACAGTACTACCTAACCCCTCACCCGACTCCACAACCGTCTCCTCCGAAAAGTCTCGAGTCTCCAAACATTCCGTCCAGAGGACAAATGGTCTATTTGTGCCCAGTGCCATCCAAATGTTCAAGTCAAAAATATTTATACGTTTTATACGTAGTTCTTTTTTTGTTTGTTTTTTTTTTGTCTGCTAAAAATAGTATTGCAAGTTTTGGCTTCTGTTGACAGAAAAATTACAATCATGTGCAAAATGCTAACAACGAAGCAACTGATCAGAATTCGAGCAGGTTGTCCAATCCGAATGCTTTAGATTCTGCATAATTTTCCTTTTCGCTTTTTTTCTCCCCAAAGAAACACAACAAGCAAACAAACAAAAACCCCAAACCTTTGCCACGTGAGAAACATCTTGTACCAAGCCCTAACGGTCCCGCGTCTCCGGCGGGCGACACGACAATGGATTTAGGCAGCAGCAACATTCTGAAACAGTAGTTAAAGCTCAAGACAGCTACGAACTCTGGGTTCTGCGGGCGGGGTTTACTGCCGGGCAGAGGCGAGCAGGCTTCTCGGAGCTCTGAGCTGGTTAATGGGCAACTGGCCTTTTTCTATTGCGGCAAGATATTTCCGTAAAAATAACCTGTCTGGGGGCAATCTGAGCAGTAAACGTTGGGGGTGGCACTGGGCCGGGGGCTAGGACGTTCCTGCTGGCGAGGGCCGGGCGCACCGGAGTCCCTGCAGAGCACAGGCCGCCCCTCCGTCGGCCCCCCAACCCCCGCTCGCAATGAGTGTTCCCGGAGCCCCTGCCTGCGGCCGCCCAGCATCCGGGAGGCCGGAAGGGGCTGCGGGCTGCACGCCCGCCCCGCAGTCTCTGCCCCTCGCCGCTCGTCCACAGCTGCGTCCCCCTTCGGGGGGCAAGGCGAGACGACCGAGTCCACTGCAAAGTGAGGCGACCACAGAGAACTCTGGGCGAGGCCAGACACAGTGCAGGAAACAGGACAGGATTCAAGTGCCGAGGCCCGCCGGCCGGCCGGGTGGCGGGCCCCACCCGAGCTCACAGTATGTCACCTCTCTGGCCCCTTCCGAGGACCGTTTGCCCTCCGTCCCAGCCGCCTCCTGCAGCACCTCCCACGCCACAGGGAGGGCAGAGCGTGGGGGCGGCGGCTGGATCGGGGCCGGCGCCACGTCAGCCCCACGCGGTCCAGTCCCTCCTCTCCTCCTTGAAAAGGCTGCTACGACTTAGCTCTAATAGTCTCTATGGAGTATATGTGTATTGCTAACGGTCAAGCTTAGGAATAAAGGTGCAGACATCTCATAAATACTGAGTGGCTCGTCTCTCCTTCTACGGGGTCTGGGTGTCGGGATCGTGCTGGCGGGGCGGGAATTAGTCGTCTTGTAAACAGAGGAGGGGGAGGGTCCGCTTTTCTTAATTGGTTTTCCTTGGGAAAAATGATCAAAAGATGCTAAGGCACTCTGGAAGGTCCCTCCGAGCCCAGGGCGCCGCCCGCCTGCCCACCCGCCCCAGGGGCCGGGCATCCAGGACGCGGAGAGACGCCCCGGCAGATACAATCGTCAGCCATGCCCGCCTGCAAACACTCCGGACCCACGTCCACCGCGGGACACATTAGTGCAAAACGCTCGGCCCGGCCCGCCGTGAGCACAGGGCGAGCTCAGGACCATTCACATGTAACGGTTCAAGTCTCACTCACAGCTCGCTTTCCCCATCCAGCAACGACACAGACAGCCATCGGGAACCATCGGGCAGAGGTCACGGGACGTTGTGCTGGCCTGAGCCGCGGTCAGGCCTCTGTGCGGCCACCGCCGCCTCCGCCGGGCCAGCGGCACCCCGCTCTGTCCCAGACCCTGGTAGAGGGCCATGCCCACTTTGGAGGGGACGAGAGAGAGAGAGACAGAGAGACAGAGAGACAGAGAGACAGAGAGACAGAGAGACAGAGAGAAAGAGAGAGAGAGCATGCCAGTTAGTTGGCTTGTTTGTTCAGGCCTGACAAACGCTTAGGTACTCATTCCCTCAACGGGTTAACTCAGCATCCCCACTGCGAGTCCTAGCTGAGACAGGACAGGAAGGAGGCACGTGGGCAGAGAGGACCTGCCATGTGCCAAGCATTTTGTCCTATGTTTTCATGTTATCTCATTCAATCTCCACATCTTCCAGTCCTATTACCTGTCCTTCTGTCAACAGCCAGGACAGGTGGGCCCGTCTCCGGAAGGTCCCCAGAAATGGTCAAATTAAAGTGCAAATTTGGGTGGGGGGAGCAGATAAAGGGACACTCTAGAGGGGAGATGAGCAGGGGTCAGCCTCACCTGCCAACACCGCCACTGCCCTGTGGCCATCCGGGGGCGCTAGGGGAGTGGCCTCCTCCGGATGCTGGAGGGACTTGGTCCCGGTCCCTAGTGAGCGGTGGGCCCCGGGCCTGCGACAGGGGAGGGAGGACAGGGAGAGATCCGCCTTGGACCAGGGGGTCCGTCTGAAGCCCCCACGGGAGCTGTGGCCCTTGGTGCCCAGGACCATGGTGCCCGGCCCGCGTGCAGGCGTGGGCGGTCCAGGGGCTGAGAGGGGCTCCCCAGGCCCGCCGGCACCTGCCCACCCACAGCCCCCTTTCCAGCTGTCAGATCTGTCTGCAGGGCGGGCACACGTCTGGCCCAGCTGGAGGGGGCCCAGGAGGCTGTGTGCAGGCGGGGACGCGGCCCCAGCCTGTCCCACAGGAAGGGCGGCGGGTGGCAGGAAAGAGGAACCCAGTGGGAAGGAGCCTAACTGCTCCCCCAGTCTGTGCCTCGCTGGACCCCACAAAGGCCCTGCAGCTGGGGAGGCTCAGCTCTGTGGGTCCTGGGCGGGGCTGAACCCCACCTGTCCAGCCTGTGGGCACATAACAGGCAGAGCGCTGGGGACAGAGGCACCACGCAAGAGATCCCCTCAGGTCTGGGAGAGGAGGGGTGTCCCAGCCACGCCTGGGGGCTTCCTGTGACGTGGGAGGGCCACAGCCCCTGGACGAGAACACAGCCATTGGGCGAGAGGCTCTACGAGCACTTTGGGCAGCCTGTGGCCGCCCCCACCCCAAAACCAGCAATAAAACTCGAGGGAACATTCCAGCCTCAGACCCACTCACAGCTGGGATGGGCTTCCCTGACTGCGCCTCCGTTACGCTCCAGGGCCTTGCACCTGCTGCCCCTGGGCACCCCGCACACTGCCCAGCTCAGGCTTGTGCCCACTGCCCGCCTGCGGCTCAGAGCACACGTGGGGAGCCCCCACTCCAGCCCGGCCCGGACCCTGCCCTCCACCAAGCAGCCCCTCCGACCTCCGCTGGCCCAGCAGCCTCCACCTGGTCACACATGCTAGCCACACCTCCTGGGGCCTCGGCTCCCAATGGGAGGTCAGAGGAACCTGGCCCAGGGTTGGGGGACCTGGCCCGGGGTGGGGGGACATGGTATACAGAAGGCCTGACCCCAAGTCACAACGGGGACGCCAACCCTAATTTTTTGCTCTTCTGGGTCTGAAAGTCTCCAAACCAGGTGTGACCTAGACCTGAATTGGGATGAGAACAAATGAACAAACACACACAATCCCGACGAGGCTGAGGCACACGGGGTGGCGGCCGCACCCCGCTGGACTGCGGGCGGCCCGGCGGGAGGCTGGCCGGGCCCCGGTGACCGAGGGGCCCTGGAGCTGCCAGGCAGGGGAACGGATGAGCCAGCAACCCTGTCTCCTCCCACAGCGACAGCGAGGCCCCTCACTGTGCCCCGCACACACGCAAATGCACACGCTCACACACTCGCACACGCCCGACTCTCAGGAAGGGAAAACAAGGAGTTTGGCCCCTGGGGGCCCAGCCCCGGCCGTGGCCCCTGACGGGCAGGTGGGACCCTCACAGGGAAGGACAGGAGTCGCCCACGCCACAGGCCCCTGGCCTCGTCCCAGCAGAGGGAGCAGGAAGGGCAGGAGGCTGGGGCGGGGCTGGGCTCCAGGGGGGCCTGGCGGCCTCTCGCCCCCCCCCAAGAGCGGGGAGGGGGAGCTACGACTTGGAGACTGACCTCGAGTTATCGGGAGGGACCCCGGGCCCTTCCTCGCAGCCAGGCCTCCAGCGGCCTAGTTGTTTACAGTGTCACGAATGCTTTGTTTCCTTCATAAACTTTAAGTACAAGCAGAATAAAAATCACATTTTTTTCAGGCAACAGCAGTTCAGTAGGTAAGTGGCTTGATCACATTTGTTTGTATTAGTAACGCATGCAAGCAGCTAGTACCGGTCCCCGGCGGTCCCCGGCGGTCCCCGGCGGCCCCCGGCGGCCGTCTACAAGGTCCCCGCGTAGGCGCCCTCCTGCCTCCTGGCGGCCGGCGTCTGGGGCCGGCTGGAGCTGGCGCTGCTCTGCTCAAAGG